TTGTATTGTTTTTTTCCTGTTTTTTTTTTGTACTACAAATAAAATATGTGCAGTGTGCATAGGAATTTGTTCATGTTTTTTCAAACTATAGTCCGGCCCCCCAACATTCTGAGGGACCATGAACTGGCCTCCTGTTTAAAAAGTTTGAGGATCCCTGATCTAATGGATTGTACACTGAGCAAGGAGTTGGAGTAGTTGACCTCTAAGGTCTTTTCCAGCCCTAGGATTCTCAGAAAGAGTTGCACTAAAACAAGTCTCCCTAAAGAGACTTAGACTCCCAATTTAGACTTACCTCCCTAAAGGGAAGAGCTTTTATTTGGAGTGAGGTAGGAGCATTCTTTTATTTTTTTGTTGTGATTGTGCTGGTGTTGAGGCCGCGAGGAACCGGATGGAGAGGAATAGGCTCCAAGTCAAACCTAGCAACTGAGTGGCTTTTAACACCCTTCCCTCCCCTGCATTGTTTGTTAACTCTTTGATTATTAACTCTGGATGGGGTACCGCTTCCCCAGACCAAGTTAGTGCGCAACTTGAGGGTCCTCAAGGCCAGAAAGGCCTTTGCACTAATCTGTCTTGTGTGCCAGTTGTGTGGTTCCTGGTTCAAGAGCCTCTGTTCATGATCACTCATGCCTTAGTTATTTCCCGGTTGGGCTATTGCAATGTATTCTATATGAGGCTGCCCTTGAAAGCATTTGGAAGCTGCAGCTGGTCCAGAATGTGGCAGTGTGTGCAGTTTTGGGACCATCACATTATGCCCACATAACACCAGTGCTATATGAACTTCACTGGCTTCTAGGAGGTTTCTGGGTGCAGTTATTACCTTAAAACCCTACATGACATGCGGCCAGGAGACTTGAGAGATAGGCTTTTTCCGTTGCACCAGATCTGGTAAGGTGGCCATGCTCCAGGTCCCGTCTGTGAAACCATGTCATTTATGGAACCTAGAAAGTGGGCCTTCTCTATCTTGGTATCTGCCCTGTGAAGCAGCCTGCCCACACAGCTGGGATGGCTTTGACCCTGTTGGCCTTTTGCAAGGCCTTTAAAACCTAACTCTTCCATTAGACTTAGGAACGGGATAGTAATTGGAGCCTGGTCTTTGTATTTTCTGCATTATTTGAGAAATTGATTATTTTTACCTGCCATCTTTGTTGTTTGCTCTACTGTTTTATCTGTATTTCTTGTTTTATGCTTTGCTCAGAGGGGCAGCCATATACATTTGTGGAATAAATAAATAACCTCCCTACAATCCACCAGTAGTGCCAATGTGGGATTTCTGGGTATTGTAGACCAACCATCTGGTGAGCCCTGATACATGAACACTTATTCCTTTTAGGGTGGGTTGATGGTGACCTATGTGATAGAAGTTACATGCTGTTCTAATTTCATGCTCCTGAAACACTTTTTCTTTTTGCAAAATATTATAAATTTAATTTGAAAGGACTTGTTAATTCAAAGCATAGTTTTATGTAATAAATTTACAGAGAGACACATTTACACATATGCTGTCAGAGCAAGTGGAAAACAAAATTAATAGTTTAGGGCAAAAGGATAAGGGAAGTAGAACGTTTTTGCCTTGAATAGAATTCAGTGGTATTCATCCTATTTGTCTCTTTTGTGGTGATGACTTGCCAGGATGCTGTAAAGGTTTATGGGGAAAGGTTTGGTGGAGTGACCCTGTGAATGGAAGAGAACACAAAAATAAAAATTCAGTTTATTTTCAAAGTAAAACCCACCTTGTACACACGCACAAAAAGCAGAGCTGCAAAAAGAGAGCTCTGCAATCAAAGCTGAAAACAAGTGCATACAAAGAGATTGCTTGGATCTGACCAAAGACCTATTAGGCTCAGCAGCCTGAATCTCATATTTACAAGCTAGATGCTTTGAAAGGCCATAGGTAGGCTTTTCTCACTGCACTTCTACAGCTGGGATTTAGGGACGTACTGCCTCCAGACTAGGCTGGACCAGCTTAAGTTGATGGATACCTTCTCTTTCACAAATGTGTCTAATTCCATTTCAAAATCTTCTAAATTGGTGGCCATCAAACTTGAGAATGAGTTCCACAGATTTATAATGTGAAGAAATGCTGTCTCCTCACTAGCTCTAAAAGGAAAACAAAATCTATTTCTATCAGCACAACTATCATGTTCTAAATTCTCCTAGCACTGTTTTATTTTTAGTAAAATATTGTAGTCTTGCCCAGTAGGGTGTTTAGATCTCTGCTGTTCTGACTGCCCAGTTCTGCACTTTTTCCTCCATACTTCGTTTTAAGAGACATTGAGAATGAATCCATGTAAACTCAAAACCTCTTGCTTCCTTTCCCTTAATGAATTTACTCTAACTGAAATACCATGGTGGGGAAACTAGTTCTCTGGATGCTGCTGAACTATAACTCCCAGCATCCTACACCAGGAACTAGGATAAGAGAAGCTTCTAGAATATGTAGTTCAATAATATTCTGGAGGATCAGAGCTCCCCTCTCTGAAATACAAAGTATGAACATTTGTGATCATGGATGGCAGCAAATAAGGACTGAGTGAAAGAGGCTTACCTTTACGTGTTGAATCCAGTTGTTTTTTAATGTACTGCTCTCGCTGCTCTAACTGATGAGCGATCTGGATATCCTTCCATCCTAGTAGAGATTAGGGCAGGAGGCAGCTAATCCTGTATGACGATATGAACCTGGCCAACCCATTCCTGCCTTCAGCTATCTTCTCTCAACTCACCTTTCTTGATGCTCTTCAGAAAATCTTCCTGGGGAGCTAAGCGCTCAGGACTGTGTACCACCCTCTCAGGGATGTGGAAAAAAGTACGAACGGCGGGCAAACGGAACAGTAATACTTGCATAATCGAGAACATGTTGGATGTCAGCCAGTAGGTAAAGATGGCCTGTATGGGAGGAAGATAACATCGAACATCAGATGACTTGATGGGTTCTTGGTTTGCTTCACTCCCCCATGCACTGATGCTGTTACCTAGCCTGGTACAGAAATGTCTGCAGGAGAACAGCCAAGCTCGTGGAACACCAAGAACCCAACAGTTCAACACTGAGCTACATATATTCTTTACTACTGGAATTAGGAGACAGCTCCCTGCACCACTGTGAAAAAACAGAGAAATGAGACAGGAGATGCAGTCCTACCCTGTATGAACTAGAGACCTAACTGATGATACCCAGCTGTACGCCTCTGCCCCTGGTGAGCTGAGTGATGCCGTGACTGCCCTTTCTCGGTGCCTGAAGGCTGTGGGGGCCTGGATGGGGAACAGCAGGTGTCAGCTGAACCCTGGCAAGACTGAGTGGCTTTGGGTTTTAGGGGCTTCTTTGTCTGGGGATTTACAATGTTTGGTGCTAGATGGGGTGCTCTGCCCCAAACGGACCCAGTGTGCAATTTGGGTTTTTCTGTTCAAAGAGCAGGTGGCAGTTGTCGCCAGGAGGGTTTTGCACAGCTTCATTTGTGTGCCAGAAGTGCCCATTCCTGGATCAGGAGGCTCTACTCTCAGTCACTCATGCCCTAGTCACCTCCCGAATAGACTACTGTAATGCGCTGTACATGGGGTTATCCTTGAAGAGTATCCAGAAGCTTCAGCTGGTACAAAATGCAGCAATGCGGGCAGTGATGTGAACTCCAATATCTGCACATGTTACACCTCTGCCACACAAGTTGAGCTGGTTGCCAGTTTGCTTCTGGATCCAATGCAAGGTGTTGGTTATCACCTTTAAAGCCCTACATGGCATGGGGCCAGGCTCCCTAAGGGACCGCCTCTCCCCAGTTACATCTGCCTCTACCATCAGGTCCGGCAGGAGAGGCATGTTATGGGTCCTGTGGGCTAGAGACTGTCATCGGGTGAGTCCTAGGAAGAAAACCTTTTCTGTCATAGCCCTCGCCCTGTAGAACATCATTCCCCGAGGTGAGGTTGGCCTTAACCCTCCCAGCCTGGAAGGCCCGTAAAATGTGGTTTTGCCAACTAGTTTGGGGATCCCATGGTAGAGTGGAGCCCGTTAGATAGTTGTAGGACTGTTAATGGAATCCACTTTCTGTATGTTTTCCCACCGTTTTGTTTCTTATTTGTTTTTATCTTGTTATTTTAATTTACACTGGTTGTTTTAATGGTTTTTTATATACTCTTGATTATTACTGTGTATGCTGCCCAGAGTCACTCTGTGAGATGAGCAGCTATACCAATGTGATTAAATAAATAAATACGTTGGTAGAACAGAAAGGTCACTCAGGGGAGACACACAAGGGTGGAAAGCTTCAAACAGTGCCAAATTTGAGGCTACGAGACTAAAGCCCCCCTCTTACCGTTGGAAAGGAAATGATGAAAGGAAGGAAGAGCACTGGCATCACTCGGAAAACCTTTTTCATTAGGTCGAGGTTTGGGTTTGGGGCTGCTGTTTGCATCCCGGTCTGTAAAGAAGATAAGTGTTATCCACTGGCCATTGCTTGATTTGCTACTTTTTCTGCTTCACACGTCTGTCCCCAGTCCTTATTTCACACCAAGAGGATGATTCTGCTATTTGAACTAGCATGACAGGAGACAAGTGGGCTAAAGATCCAGGTAGGGCCAGGCTTCAGATAAATGGAGATTCACTCAGTCCCCAGCCAAGATCTGGGTAGATTTCTATATATCCTAGCCAGTAAGTCCACCCCACAAGTGCTTTTTCATGCCTGCCAATTTCTTTGCTTCAAAATCATGGTGGGTGGAAGAAGGGATCTGTGGAAATTGGTAAGTGGAAGCAAAATCTGTGGATAACTAGAGTTCGCTCTCACATTGTCTTACCTCCAAAATAATCCACATGGTGACAGTTACCGTCAGGGGTAGTACGTAGTAAGGATCAGGGGCTGTGAGATTCATGAACCACCAAAGTCCCCCTGTCTCCAGGCTGGGCACAGGAAACTCAGCCATTTTGCGTAGGGCAAAGAAGAATGAGAGGAAAATGGGTGCCTGGGACAGAGAAGGGAGAGGTCAAGCTGGTAAACAATGTTGATAATAGGAATTCCAAGCATGGCATAGAAGCTGACCTGGACAAAGGGCGTGATAAATCCTCGCAAGGGGTTAACGTTATGGGTTTTCTGATAGTGCTCCAGATCTGCAACGGCCTTCATAACTGGGAGAGAAGGAGAGAGGAAAAGTAGCGCTAAAATATGACTAAACCTGTCTGCCAGATGTTCCTTATGAACACCACTGCTGTCCTGTCCTGGACTACAGCTCCTATTCCCCTCAACCACAGTAGTGTATTTTAAAGGCTTTATTCCACTTTGGCACCATTTAAGAAAGACTGCCTCTCCAGCTCCTTTGTTCTTCCCCAGCCTTACCCCGTCCTACGGCTGCTATTGCAATCCTTGGCTAATTTCAAAGCTTTATTAATCCCACTAAGTTTTGATCCCACTTTAAACTTACACTGCTGGTGGTTGCCGGTCTTCCTGGCCTCGCTGACTTTAGTAGACAACACAGTCATTTGGGGCATATGGTTGCTTAACGCAATCGAGTCTTGCTGGTTCTTCACCATGAGTGGGAAAACCAGACAGCGTACGAGTACTGTCCCTGAGAGACGGGCAGGACAGAAGAGTTGTATTACTTTGCAGCACAATTACAAGGTCACTGGAATCCACAAAGAAGTCCAGGCACTCAGAGTTCCCTAGCTGGCCCCTTGTAGGTATGCAGAAAGTATAATTCCACAGCTGGACGGGGGAGGCTGGGATGGGCCACAGGAAGAGCACAGGGTAGGCGGTCATTCCCCCAAAAATGAAAATGCATTTTAAAGTCTTTTAAACTCAAGACTTTACCCCACTGATTTAGACGCTTGTGAGAATGGAAGAAATATTTGCAGTATCCCGAAGGCAGTTCTGGAGGTGTCTACCAAGTTTGGCTTTGTTTACCAGCTGGCTGTGATTTGGCTTCTGTTCCCAGCTACGAGGGTTTCTCAGCACAACATATCACCTTATACCAGGAGTGATCTTAAATATTAACTGCCTTTAAATAAACTACTTCTGTTCAATTAAGCTTAGTGTTTATCCTAATGCTGCCCAGAGTATTTTGTTCTGGTCCCTGAGGGATGAAAAGTTTCCCCCCCGCCCCTTTACTTCCAATCTGGCCTTTAAAACTGGATTTGTCAGTGACTGAACAGGTCTCTGCTTCCCAATCTGAATGCATAATTTCCACTGGTGAAAAGACGTCTTTCTGTTCCCGTCGCCTTACAATTCCAGCAATCCTCTTTACCTGCCACGATGGCTCCCCACCAAGGCAGCCCCAAGTCCAAGTGAAAAGATTCCAGGGTCTTCAGGACTAGGCCCACTGGGCTGTAGCTTTCCAGACCTAGTTCAGCAAAAGTTGGTTCTTGCACAAGGTGGCCAAGTTCCTCTAAGGGGAGGACGTTCTCTACAGGTGGGGTTGATGCAGCTTGAGCAACCTAAAGGGGAGAGGCAGAAATGGACGTAGACAGGTCTCCTGTGGAAACGTCACTCTCCCCGGTGAAAAGTCTCCCGGATGACGTTTCGTTTTCATCACTCCAAACTCCGCAAGCGCCTTGGCCCCACCTGTATGCCCGCAACGGCTGCAGTGCTCTGACACCGGACTGTGGGCCTCCAAGGAGGGAGAGGAAGACTCTTCAGCTGAGGAACCAAAGCGGCTTTGCCCTGCGACCATCTCAGAGGAACTGATGTTCTGGGAACCTGGGAAGGAAGTTGCAACAAGCAGCAGCTTTATCCAGTCACTTCACAATAAGCCCGGAATTGCAATGCCAGGGAAGCCGATCG